TATATAGACACCCTAATCTTTCGTGAAGTGAAATATTCTTAGCACTCCTTTACATTATTTTAAATTATTTCAGAGTCATGATAGGGCCCAAGGACTGAAGCCAATAAATGAGAATATAAAAAGAATAAATATTGATGTAGCTCATTTCTACCGCTACATTGTGGCGACTTAAGTTGCATTGACGTTACATTATTCTTACTACGGAGAGCGTTAAGCGTTCTCATCCCATGAGATAAAAAATTTTTACGTTACCTCTACAGGATATCAAAGCAGTTCCGGGGCTGACTTTTTTTCAGGGTAATTTTCTATGCTGCTTGCATCAAAAATTTATCAAAAAGAAAGTGAATCCTTCAGATCAAATATGTAGACTGATTCCGGCGGATGTTCTTTCCTTGCAAAATTGTTCATGATTTTTTGACAGGCTTCAAAAAGAATTATTCAATTTTGAGTTAGAATGATTGCAAGATTTGTAATAAAGAACCTTGTGTTGTGGTTTCTTATGATTATATCTTCAGAGAAGAAAAAATATAAATTCTTTCAAATCCAATCATGAGCGCGCAGTTCAGGTTTTGAACCTGAAGAAATTTAGTCTCTCAGGTATATAGCAGAAAATTTACTACTTGAATTTAATTGATTAATGCTTGTTAATTTTACCCCACAAATTCATTGAACTAACATTACCGGTCAGAATGACGACTGTTCCGACGCTGATGAACGAGACAAGAGGTCATTCGAAGCCAGTCATTAGTTCTTCTTTATTGGGGCTGTACGTGTTAAAGCTGTCAGTAAATAACCAGTTCTTGACTTATGGGGTCCAAAATGACGTCATCTGTTCGATAACCAATCGCGTGTGTCGCCCTCACTGGCAGGTGGGGTATATAAGGGCACAGGTCACGGCAGCAAGCCTCACTCACAGCCACGCCGTCGTGACAGCAACTGTGTGTCCCAAGCTCTTCTGTTTTCCAGTCGTCGTGCGTCAAGATCTCAATGTAAGCCTTTCAAAAAATACTAGTTAATTAATTTATTTAACTTTAGTATTTTAAAGGTTTTTTATTTCCAGAAATTTATATTAAATATTTGAAACTTGCAGTGAGGAACAACCTCATGAATATAATTAGAGTTTCCATATCATTAAAATATAAATTTATGTGTCGTATTCGATTGCAATTCGTTGGCAGTTATTTGCGGAAGCGTAGGTAAATTACAATATATGTTCCTTCTAAATACAATAAAACTGTTTCATACGCCGGACTAAAAATGTTGATCGTAATCTACGGATTTTACAACAGAGATTTCACTTACTTCTTCAATTCAACATAACTAGACTTGTGACCGATGAATATTGGTTTAATCTGCGGAGTTTGCAGCCAACATTTTATTTACTTCATTACTACAAATTCATACTCCCTCGCGTGGAACAGGACTTATTGCGGCAAATTTCTAATTTCGAAAAGATAGACTGAAAAATAATTGCTTCTATGATATCCCCTGTAGACATTATTTATTCTCAGTAAAGTTCATCTTACGTTATCAAGTCTTACATAACTGATGATGTTCTCTTGTTGTATTAAAGGAGGTAATAGTAGAATACGTTTACCACAGACAATAATTTCTTTAAAAAAATTCTCGAACATTTTTACAACAAATTAAAAAATGTAAATTGCGTGCCGGCATGCATGAGCAAACTTTTTCTTTATTAATCGAATTATGAAGATTTTACGATCATTCCCACACTGAACTGAAGTGAAAAATGTCAAATTTAGTCAGAAGCTGGTGATATACACTATTATATTTATGCGCATTTCATATCATTTTATTTACCTGTCATTCTTAACAACAATGAATGGTTCACAATCATTCATCATTCATAATCATTTATCATTCATAATCATTCATCATTCATAATCATTCATCATTCATAATCACTAGTCATCCATGACCATTCACTATTCATAATCATTCATCATTCATAATCACTACTCATCCATGACCATTCACTATTCATAATCATTCATCACTCATAATCACTACTTATTCATGATCATTCATCATTTCATGAAATAAATGACGTTCCATCTCATTATTCAAACATTGTTTGTCTTCGTGGGAGCCAGAGGCAAACTTCACCAAGCATTTCACTGGGCAGATGCCTAGCCTTTTTGTCCCCTCGAGCTTAGATTGTTTCGCTAGAAAATAAAACTCTAGAGTTAAGAATGACGCTCATGATGTATGAAAGGAGTCCTGGAGAACGCGGGCTCTCCACGTCTATTATTTTTTAAAGTTGACGAGAGAACTGCTCTGCCTTTCATTATAGAAAAAAAAACAAAAGATTGTTGCCCATATTCAAGAAATTTTATCGCATCATAGCCTATTAAATATTTTTTTATATTATAAAGACACGACGAATGAATTATTCTAACATTCAGTTCCAAATTTATATTCTATTTGCAGTTCGTGCATTCGATTTCAATCGTAAGATGCAGGAAATTAAAAAATTTTATGATATTTCAACGTGTCGCAAAAATACTATCATTGGCAAACTTTTCGCCTCCATTTAAAATTGGAGCCTAATAAAACACGGCTAAATGTGATAAATCAGAAAATTTTTCACAAATATTCCAAATATATTTTTTGTATATCTTTATCTGCGTAAAACCTTGAGTATTATTCCCATTTTCAGCTCGCGGTGACGTAATTTTACGTCGGCAGATGCCGCTCAATAACTTTTTACGAATCGGTATAAAAAATAAATCCTTATTGAGACGGAAGCCGCACGCTCAGTATATTTATTTCAGCAGCCACCATAGAAATTTCAAATTGAGAATTTTTCCAATGGACTAATCCGCGGAATATTGGCCTGTCTTCAAGCCGACAACTCTTAGCCAAATGACTATATTGAAAAAAATGAATGAGTCGTTTCCATCAATATAGATCAAGTAATGCAAGTAAAAAATAAGCGTCAACTGCTCCTGGTTTTATTTTAGGCACGTTCCACTGAGGAAAAAATTAAATGTTCAGACTGAAACCAAGCGACAGAAATAGCGTTCAAGTAACTTATGATGAACTAGTCACCGCTTCAACTAACTGATGATGAACTAGTCAGTGTTTCAAGTAACAGATGATGAACTAGTCAGCACTTCAAGTAATTGATGATGAACTAGTCAGCGCTTCAAGTAATTGATGATGAACTAGTCAGCGCTTCAAGTAACTGATGATGAACTAGTCAGCACTTCAGGTAACTGATGATGAACTAGTCAGCACTTCAAGTAACTGATGATGAACTAGTCAGCACTTCAAGTAACTGATGATGAACTAGTCAGCACTTCAAGTAACTGATGATGAACTAGTCAGCGCTTCAAGTAACTGATGAGGACTTATACTAACTCTTCTAGACGTTGTATATCTTGATGTTGAAAAAAGTTTGCGTCTTGATCTGCAACTGTCACAACATTGTGACGGACTTCGTCTTCATCTTCAAATACTTAAGTTCTTTAAGCCATCTTCGCAGCAAAAAATTTTGAATGTACGGCAGCTCACTTTTCAGGCTGAGTAGTTCTAACTCAATCCGCCAAGCGTATTTTCAATTCTAGATGAGATACAGACTGGAGCATCATTAACAACAATGAGAATAGCACTTGCAAAAAATGTAAAACTCAACACATGAATCACAAAATTTGTGTAATTCAAAGCAAAGAATTCGTAAATCTAAATATTCATCGATCATGTATCGTGTAATTGATGTAATCATGTAAACATCGATCTTTCCTTCAAAATTGTGACACAACGTAGGGCTGGTAGCCTCAGAAATTTTACGTAAATTTTATTATAAAAGTCTCATTATTTTCGTTTACTATTATTTAATGACTACATGAAATGTGCTTAACACTTGAAATATTTTAATGACAAAAAATTATTTCGTTAATATTTATTTCTACGGAGATATGTTCTAGCAAAAATTAGATTAGTTACGATATTTCGTTGCTTCTACTGTACAATTTATCTTGCTGCTTCGATGACATTATTCCATCTTATGTTAGTAAAATCAAATGATTATAGTCCCTATTCCCACCCTTATCAATGGTGAAATCAAGCTCGGCGTTCGCATGAATTCCAGAAATGTATGAATTGCACTTACCAACAAATCTTCCTGCGCCATGTTACATCAGTAAACACATTTCACAGCTAAATTCACCAATTATCAGCTCCGTACCTGACATATTCAACAACTGAAACACAATTTGCGCCCAACTCCGCAGATAACTTACCTGTCCGACAGATCGCAAAGCGAATCGGACGTCGCATTTGGTGATGAATGCAACGAGAGAAATTTAATACAATGGCAATAACTTGACTAGGCACGATGATATAGAATGTTAATTGACTTCGTTTCGAGGATATTGTGGTATGCAAGTCAGGATGAAGAGTTGAAAATTATAAATTTAGTGGCACCAGCTACACGTTGTACTAAATGACAATTGCGGTAAATGTAAATAAGTTCAGAGGTGTTGACCAGTGCGCAATTCCTTAGGGCGTTAGCGCCAAAGCGTTAGTTCGTACAATTCGTTTGAAAAAGCGTTAGTGATTTTTTTTAGCTTGAAATGAGCACAAATTTAAGATATGAAGCTTAAAATTTAATTTTACTAGTCCAATCGGTCGTATAAATCTCACTTACATTTGAAATCAATTAGACTTGAAGTCCCTCAACACGAATTTCGTTTTTTTAGTGAAGAAATCACACAACAAATTCTTCCTAACGATGGATCAAATTCAATTATTTTATAAAATGAGTAAGATCAAAAATAACTGCATAAATTGCACACATCATGATATATTGTGGGTAAAAATAGCTATCATGCTTCAGACTTTCTATTACATCAGAATCTGATCTCTGCATGAAAGAACAAAACCTCGTAATAAGCTTTATTATTGTCACCGCTACATTGACTAGGATCGAAATCAAAACTGGGTAATAGTGACATCACTTGAATAGCTTCGCTCAGATTAGATTGCCTCAATTATGAGGCTTTAATTAAGAGATAATTACTGATCAGAAGCTTCTCATTTGATTGGAGTCGCTTCGTAACTCTGCGCTTCAGGTTCCATAATGTTTCTCAAAACCTATTTTGGAACGCATTCCTCCAAGCAAAATAAATTCTGTTTGTGGTACACAACTCGAAAAAATCTGTCGTTTAATATTCCTGTAATTAACTCGTTATTTACTCTAATAAAGTTGTAATGGAGAGTTTTCAAATACGTTTAACTGGAAGCAACACGATTTGTTTACATCGTAGATTTCTATTCAATTTTTTATATAATGTTTTAACTGGTAATGTTCCAGAAGATACACATTAATTAATACGTCAGATTTCATCATTATTTCTCTAAAAGCTACGGTGTTCATGTGGATTCATTATCCGTTTCAAAGAATGTTCTTAATCGTCTTGTGTTTTCTGCTTGCAAATACCTACATTTATGTATTTCCTAAACCAGTTTCATGTACCGAACAAATAATAAGAACAGCAACATAACTTCATAGCGATGGTTGAAAGGCCTATTAACTATAGCACTTGGAATGCATTATCATTCCTACAAGGAAAATGCACTAAAAAACTCAATAAATACAAGAAATATAAATTCCATTTGCGCTTTTCTCCCAAAGCTTTATGACTGCACCCTTTAGGTGTCGGCTTTGAAGAAAGTTTTCTTCCGTATCGAGTCTTACTTTTTATCTTGGAGCGAAGTTCAGAATTCAATCGTAGTTTTTCTCCGTTTTATGTTATGTATTTTCCTGGATCTTGCGTCGGAGTTCCACTTCTCTGGCTGATGACACGGATTGTTGACAGCGGCGTCTCAATCAAGCGATAACGTCCCTCACTTTTAGCCCTGAGGGAGGGTTCCTGAGGGCCAAATTCATCAGTTTATTATTTCTTGCCACCAGTCCTCATAGAGAAAGAAATTGGAAAGCATGTTGGTCTGTTTGGTCGGCCATGTTTGTCTGTTGACGTGACTGAGTGGGACGTGTGCGAAGACCATGCATGAAAACCGTGACTTAACTTATTTATTTCATTACGGTCATTTTAAACATAAATAATTTGTAAAACGCCCTCGGGATTTTCTTTTATTTTTTAGAATTATTTTCATGAAAAAAATTAATACATTTACTTTACAAGCCTAAATGCAGGACGACATATGAGCATCTGTTTCGATCGAAAATTCCAGTGATAATATCACGAATCGATATATACTGCTATTTATAATCGATATAATATCAGACAGTGAGAAAAAGATATAAAATAACGAAACGCGCCAAGTCAGGGTATTAATTTGAGTTGATACTGACGACCATTAAACATTATTCAAAGACTGAGGTCACGCGTGCCATTAATCCTACAGGAAACTGCCTAAACATCGAAGGACACTCAGTAAAAGTTCTTCTTATTCAGCGATTCAAACATATTTGAATAGCAGATATTTCTATTTTATTGTCGAAATGCATGGGCGCTATGGCGACAAAGCAATGAGAACAAAGGCTGCTTGCGAGAGAGCTGCGCACGGTTTAAATTTTTACAGTGCGAGTTCGAAGTTCCTTCTGATGTCAGCATCCTTAGTATAAGGAATTTTTTACATTGCGAAACCACTCGTTACTTTTTTTACCTTACGAAACGACACGTTACTTCCGTGGCTACATCGAATCTTGTCACTAACTATAAAAAAAATTAGCTAGATGAAGTAGCTTCATGATTGATCGAGCTCAACCAATGGCGTTGTGTTTAACAATATGTTTTCAACTTCAAAATGGGACCGAACTTCAAAACCGACACATTTCCAACTTCAAGATGGGACTGAAATTCTATAATTGAACGACACCAAATTGTACATCACATCCACGTCCCGCGATTAAAAAAAACGGATCTCCAGCAAACACCAACGCATAACAAAGAGCGTATGTGACGCTGTCACAACAATTACGTTATAGACGGCATGTGATCGACAAGCTCGTTAACGTAATCTGTTGATGCGCGCAAAAACTGTTTTGTTCTTCAGTAGCTGCTCCAGGGTTCGGGTTTATGCCAGGGTTCGGGTTTATGGCAGATGCTGTTTCCCTGGGAATTACAGAGGAATTTGCTAAAAAATTACTTACATTGAATTAACATAATTAACGAAAAAAATTTTCGTGTAATGCTTTGGGTTAAAATATATTTTCACTTAAATGCTTGCTGAGATTTGCATGCGCATTGGCTCTGAGGTTTGATTTATTTCAATAAATTTCTTCGACGCGGAGAACCATTCACTTTTAATCCAGAAATACCTTCTTTGAAAATCGAGTAGATCCTCTTCATCAAAATAAAGGTTTACTCGAGTCCTCTGTGAAATTATGTGATCTAGTGAGCCAAACGAGACTTTTAAATCGAAAGAAATTCCCGAAATAACCTTTCGCCAAACTTGTATTTCGCGAGACCTGGTAAATTCATTCGCATTTGATAGCCTCCCTGACCGTCTGACTCTATTATAAAAGAAGAAAGTTATTTATCATTGCGCCAGTAATATTAAGTAATAGTTGAATATCTGCAGCTCATTGTTCTGCATTTTGACAATTATAGACACTAATTGAGAGTTACATTCGTGCATCCGTGCTCATTATTCATCTTCTGAACATATCGAAATAACATTTATATTTTGTACAAGTTTCCACGTCCATGGCTATCAAAACATCTCGATTGACACGCATCTCTTGCTCTGATATTATAATCTGTAATTTTGTCAGAGAAAAATGACCTCATGAGTGAGTATAAATACCTTAACGGCTGTTGATTTCACCTTCAGTTTCAATAGAGTGAGTGGCAGAAACTTTGCCACTGTATTTGTACATATTTTCAAGTCGTGTATTTTTCAAGTCTGGGAATTTGGATTCGCAATTAATGCAACAGATATTTTTGTAATAGTTTGATGAACTATTGAAGCAGTAGTTATTATTTTCATAGCTGAATGACCTATTCTCATCAGTCCAACCCTTACCTCTAATTTTAGCCACATTAGATGCAATGCCTGACAGATATGCTTCTTATGGCGCATTCGTTCACTAAGAAACACACTGTTTTGATTTTAATTATGATGAAAATTTTCGGCGAAAAAAAATAGTGGTGTAAAATTGATGATGGATTGTCAAAACCAACAAATCGCACACTTTTTCACTAGTTTGACCGGCATTAAATCATCAACTGTTCCAGCCCGTATGACTTCATGAGACGAGACTTAAATTCCCGTCACGGTTTTATTTTGGGAGACAATAGGCCAATTTATATAAATATATATTATCAGTATCCACAATCAAACCATTTTCTAAATTTATATTTTTTATCAAATTGCAGAAGATGGTGCAGGCAGGACAAGCAAGTGTGGCAGGAGCTGCATGGCTGCTGCTGATGCTGGTGGCTGCAGCTCTCGCTGAAGCGCAGGGCCAGCCTTTACCTGAACAAACGTGAGTAACTCAACTACGCACATTTATTCGTATTTACTCATACCTATTAACATGAGTGTGGCAAATAATATGAATACTCTGCACGAATCTAAGAGAAATAATACAGCTCCAGACTCTTAGTTGATTAACTGGGACTGAGTAAGCTCGTGAAAGTGCCTCACGCGGTCAAAAGTGTCTCACGCGATCATTAAATAGATAAATCCGTTTTTTGTTTCATCAATAATGCTGTCAGGAAAGTTTCATTGACACACTTTTGTTCTGCCCCCCATTTCAGCTCTTTATCTATTCCTTATTAGGTCTAGGAGTTAAATGTTCCAGTAATAAATGAAAAAAACTGCTGAAAGACACGCCGAGATGTCATAACATTCTGCTCAAATGCGTCATCACCACCCAAGTAACTCACACATTTCTCTGAGTGTAGTATCACCGAGGGATGCCCTGCCTCTACAAGATTAAAAACTTTGAATTGGATTTCCCGAAAGCTGATTTGTCTTCGATTTTGGTACAGCAAACACCGCTTCGTCCGGGTTTGGTGTGGCAATCTTAGTCATGAAATAAAATTTAGAGTTTGTCACCACACGCAATTCCCTCTTGTGCTTTGTGCACGACCTGCGCTAGAAGCTGTGTAGACAGCTTTCCATGCAACTTTTAGTTTAGTACAATTTTGTTGATTGAACTTGTTAATTGTGTTAAATAATTAACTGTGTTAATTATTTACTCAAAAAATGAGAGAATAACATTTAACGTCCTGTACAACCGCAAGTACAGGCGATATTTCAATTTTCGTATCACACAAGTACGTATATAAGAGAAAAATGTTAAAATTTACCTTATCCAAAGTTTGTTAATTCTTTGCTGCAATTCCTTCGTATGGAAGAAGCATTAAGATATTCACAATACACAAAATGAAACATGGCCAACATTTGCAGATAAACGGCTGCAGGATCATTAATATACATAATAAAATGTTCGATATTTTATCAATGCACCCAGAAAAATTGATATTATTATTGATTGATTATTATTGCCCAAATAATGTTCTTCTCTAACCAAAAGCACAAGCAGAAAGCGGCGTACCACTGATACGCCCGTTTGTCGGAGTAACCTTTGTAGGTTGGCCCACATCGGGGTAAGAAGTGCATCGTTATTTGGACAAAGTCTCATTTGTTTCTCTGAGTGAAGTTTGCATGGGTACTCACAAGCAGACGATATTTCACCCTCAGGATGGAGGAGCCTGAGGCGGTCGACAGCCTGCCGGCGCCTCTGCGCTACCTGCTGGTGCAGCGACTCTTGGAGGCCCGTCTTGCGGCCGACCAAAACCGTCCCGTCAGGTGGGTGTCTGCTGGGTCGGGGGTTAGAGAACTTATCACCAGATGGTAGGAGGTGTCTGCTGGGTAGGGAGTTGAGAACTTATCACCAGATGGTAGGAGGTGTCTGCTGGGTCGGGGGTTGTGGAACTTATCACCAGATGGTAGGAGGTGTCTGCTGGGTCGGGGGTTATGGAACTTATCACCAGATGGTAGGAGGTGTCTGCTGGGTAAGGAGTTAGAGAACTGGATCACCAGGTGGTAGGAGGTGTCTGCTGGGTCGGGGGTTGTGGAACTTATCACCAGATGGTAGGAGGTGTCTGCTGGGTAGGGGGTTAGGGAACTTATCACCAGGTGGCGGGTGGTGTCTGCTGGGTAGGGGGTTATGGAACTTATCATCTGGTGCTAGGAGGTGTCTGCTGGGTCGGGGGTTATGGAACTTATCACCAGATGGTAGGAGGTGTCTGCTTGGTCGGGGGTTATGGAACTTATCACCAGATGGTAGGAGGTGGCTGCTGGATAGAAGGTTAGGAAACTTGTCACCGGTGGTAGGTGGTGGCTGCGCGAGTAAGTGGTTAGAGAACTCAAAACTGAATCCGCAAGTGATAAGTGGTTGCTGCAAGAGTTACTGGGGACAGAACATATTCGCTAAGTGTCAGTCTGCTCAGGTTTCGATAGCAACCTTCGATAGCAACCCGATAGAACCGTTGGCTTGTTTACTAATCCATCCTGAGTAGCTAGATCCATTTCTGCGTGATGTTATGTTTAGTAGTTTTGCTCCTATCTTTATTAGTTTATTTCAATTCACGGGCCTAATCAAAGAAAATTATATTCTAAATTTGTTAGGCATTGCTATTGTAACGAATCTGATCCGAAAAACTGTTGTATTCATTCTGCGCTGAAAATGGTGGAAAAGATAATTTAATTCGTGCTTTCTTCCTTACCAGTTACCACGTTGTAACATGCAACCCTTCAGCATAAAAATTGAATTTTCAAAGAAATTCCATCTTCCTTTAACCAAATATCAAATACCGTGTTATGATAAGAGAACCTATGACTAATTTATTCCAATGACTAACTTCTAAGTTCCCCCAGAACGATAATTTCCTGCCTTGAGTACTGGCAAAACTTCTTCGAGTTATTTTCCTTAGCGAAAGTTTCGCCCGACTTCGCAATGCCTCTACAGCGCCAGCCGTTCCTAATGAGCTTCTTTGAGGTACTTCTGCAAACGTGAACGTAAACAAGGCCTTGATTTTCATTGCTAACAAAATCAAATGAATTTATTGCTACATTACACAGGAATTTCTGCGCAGCAAATTACCCTGGGGAACAATTTAGACACTCGATTCCGGACTATGGGACCAAAGTCGAGCTTAGAGATTTTTTGTACATCGAATTTAGCCCATCTTCTATGGGCTGTTATTTAAAAAATGGTCTGTACGTTTCCCTTGGCATTCAAATTCGAAATTAGAAAAGTATATGATTGCATTTGAGGACTGAAAATCTATTTTTTCTGCGACTCATCAATTTGAGGAGCTCAGATCTTATTTTGTAGGCTTACCATACGAAATTACACATACGGAAGTATTTCACCACGATACATGCACTCACTTTCGAAAATGAGATTCTAATTTTAGAGTTTGCAACGAGAAGAAAGAAAATTTTAATCTAACCACAAAAATTAATTATTGGAAAATTCATCTTTCATGATACATCGTGGCTGCCCGTAATGACGAAATTTATTTGTCTCCTATTTTTTATCGAATAAGAAAAGTTGAAATTATAAAAATAGATATAATTTGAAAAGAACAAATCTTGTTCGCCGTTAGAGACCTCAATTTGTTATAAGCATCAAAGGCATGCATTATCATACTGCATCATACGGTGGGGTTACGTACAGCATTCCACTAGCTGTTGTACTGGAGAATGCGGGACACCGGACGAAATAAAGCGTTCACATCAAGGCAATTTATTGTGTATATACGAAGTACACATTATTACCACATTTCTTTCCAATCAAAATAAATATATCATTTCACTGAAAGTTATAAAAAAATACCGCAAAGGTCAGAAATGGCGTTGCCAGCATTAAAATTCATTAAATTGTACAAGAAGTACATAATTCAAGGAAAGGAGGGAATCGAATTCATCTTCAAAAATTTTTACGATATTTTATGATAGCGTAACATATCACAAATCGTTCTCAACATATATATTCAGAATTTTCAATGCTCTGAGGGTTCAAGGAACTACCCAAAATCAGTACTTTTTATGAATTAATTCTGCCATTTGTTTGCATGGCATCCCGGTTTTATTGAATATTTCTGAATGTTATTTATTGAATATGGGCCTCAGACTGCAGCGTCCGCCCCAATTTCTAGTAAACTTCCGGGCGGCTGTTTTTCCTAGCAAATATCCAAGACCCAACATCAGGATTCATATTCTTAACTTATCAGCACAAAAATTGGTTAGATTAGTTCCCTTTCCGTCCCACTTATGTCTCGTGGTCTACGTTAGGGAGAATAAATCACCTGGTCTCCGACTGACTTCATACCTACTTCCATACACGTGACTTTGTAAATACTTGAGAATAACTGACTTCGAAATACTCACGAATACTTTATTTTGTACGTACTTAAGAATACTTGATACGGTAAATACTTATGAATTATCGAAAGCATTAACGCTTAAATATCAGTTGTATATATGGGATGCTTCGTAAATACCGTCAAGTTTTTAAGCTTACTGCGAAGTTAAGGGCAGAACGCACATGAATTTTGAATGAAAATTTTAACATAACGGCATTGAATATTAAATAATTGAGCCGCCAAAATACGAGCTTCGATACTCCTTGCTACTTTAGTATTCCCTGTGTGACAAAGCTTTAGAAAATTAATTATTTAAGTGAACAAAAAATGCCCGTAGTCAGCCTTTTCTTGAAAACATAATGTAGAGTAAGCGGATTGTTGCATAATATTTCGCGGGCGCTAGGCTGCATGAGTAAGAACGTTGTGTTCCGATACTTAGTCTCAAGTTCTGATACAAGACTTTTTATAATCTGTTGAATGCCTCTTCATGAATGAAAGGCCATCCAATGTTTTTCGAACATAGTCACTAAAGTCTTTACATAGAGCTTCTAGAGCTCGTTTTCAACTGTATTATGCCTCTTCAATTCATTAAAAATTGTTCGTTCTGATTACACTGATCGAAGATTTGGTCATTCTCGCTGACATTTCCTAGGTTTTATAATGACAAAAATTTCTGGTTAGTCCTCAGAATATCATGAGCACAAACATGAAATGCAATTTAAAAATTTTACTAAAGTTTCCTTGAATGTTTTTGAGTACATGACTTGATTATTATTAAATAAGGAGTTACGTTGCCAATTGAGTCTACGGGAAATCATCACAATGATCAAGTATTTCAAAGGATCTGAACTAAACTTCTGAACTAATATTCCTTAGCAATAAGAAAAGTAGCATACTTAGGAACTAAACTTAATATCTCATTTAAACTAGCTTTTTTGATGTATATTTTTATTTATTCCTTGCATTTCTTTCGACCTGCAAATAGTTATTATTCACAAAATTAATGAAATACACATTCTGTAATTCTTAGAAAGGAATTTTTTACCGATTATTCTATGGTAATTCAAACTTCAAAAATTTAGGTACGTCACCATCATAGGAATGTAAAGTACATTCGATTCAACAGAAAATTCGAATTCTAGAATAAAATTATCTGCTCATAGACGCTCAAATCCAATTTAGCACATGATTTTTCGGAGATTTCCGCGATCAATTATAAACTAACTATTATTTGTTTTCATGTTACCTTCCAATTTGTTAACGCTGCCACCCGGATCTCTACCCGCCCGTACTACACCTGATGATCGTATCCGTTTACACCGCACGCTTGGACCCGTCTACCCGTCCGGTACTACACCTGATGATCGTATCCGTTTACTCCCGCACGCTTGGACCCGTCTACCCGTCCGGTACTACACCTGATGATCGTATCCGTTTACCCCGCACACTTGGACCCGTCTACCCGTCCGTACTACACCTGATGATCGTATCCGTTTGCCCCGCAAATGTGGTCACGTGACACTAACACGAAAACTGCCGGGTGAACGATACAACTCGGAAACTACTTGGTGATTGGCACTTGAAAATAACCTGTTGACCGACATATACTGAAAAACCGCCTGTTGATTGAAACCAACTTTGAAACAACCTGTTGAATTACCGACTTCATTTCAATGCTATATCTCAAATAACCACCTCTAAACAAACATGAATGCGGCCGTCTCGCGGAACAGGAAGCGGACATGTCTGATAAACGCAGGTCTCTCTCACGGGTGTGACTACAAAGATCTAATGGGGGCCATGGAGGAGTCCAACTACTGGAACTCAGCCCTCTCCCCCGGCAGAAGGCGAAGAGCGGCCCCTAACGAGCCTCTAGATCAGGCGCCGTCTTCCCGAAACCCTCAGGAAATGTTGGAGCTGCCCACCGCCTACGACAACGACCGAGAAATTGTCGAGGATCAGCGAAGCATTTTGAAAACCAAGAAGAATGAAATTCACAAACCATTCAATAGGATCTCCAGGAGCCTCCATGTCTTTTAAATAATGACGCTTTCTTGCTTCCATCAAATGTTTACAGAGGGAAAGAAGAGTTGGTTGGGTGAGTGCAAGGAAGTGCACGAATAGTGCACGAATAGTGCACGAATACCATGCAGGTGAATTGTTCACCTGCATGGCTGCATGATTTTATTAATTGATCCGTATTCCTCCAATGGATTTTATTAATTGATCCGTATTCCTCCACATGATGATCCGTATTCCTCCAATTTTCTAATTTCAGGCTATAAGCATGATAATAATTATGTAAATATAATGTTTTGTTCTGTGTTACTTCTACACGTTTACCTTTTCTTCTCCAAATTAAATTTATATTGTTTGTTGTAAAAATTGGTTGATAAAGATATTTGTTTTTATTAACTGCACACCAGATTAAAGCATGCGTTTAAGGTATAAAATTTTAAACTAACAGATTTAGTGTATAAAGTGTTTGCACGTAATTGTATTATTTGAATTGATAATTCGTCCATTTATGGGCAATGTACATTTCACGCTGTTGGCTTCGTGTGGTGTGCAGTGTTTGCAGTTTCAGCATGAAACTGCATGAAACATTTCAGGCATGAAACATACCGACTTGCATGAAACATTTCAGGAATTCATTACTTGGCCTTTCAATTTTGTTGCCAACTTCCGGAAGGGTCGATGGCTCGTTATGCCCTTGCCTTATTCCGATGACGTCTTCGTTTTCGTCATCTTTATGCCCGACAAAAGCACCTCTTCATAATTTTTAGCTGTCATGATCGTGTCAGATTAAATAGATTTTCGCCTTCTTGTTGACACAGCGACGAAGAGGCCTAGGAACCTCTTTTCAATTTCATTTGACTTACGCATATTTGACGACACAGCGACGAAGAGGCCTAGGAACCTCCCTTCAAGTTCATTTGATTTACGCATATTTGACGACACAGCGAGGAAGAGGCCTTGGCTCGCCACCTGGTGATGTTGGCCAACGCCGTGGCCTCGAACACCGCCTTCCACCAGCTGGACGTGCCACATTCTGCCATCAAGACCTACTGCCACCTCGACAACAACCGACAGTGTCGGGAAGCTTGCTTCTACTTCGGGGACTCTGCCTGCATTGATGGAAATCTGGCCTTCAACGGCAACGACAACGCCTTCCTGTCTCGAGGATTCCATCCCGGGAAGTAATCAACTTCATGGTAGGTTTTCAGGGACCGAATATGGCCGCAAGTTGTCCACACTCAAGAGAAGACTTAGAGTTGAACATTTATTGTTGTTCATGAAGAGAAAAACATTGCTCCGAACAGCTTTCGTCACCTCCGCTTCGCTATGTTCACAATAGATTTATCTTTTTTTCATTGCTGTGCCACTTTTTATGTATAATGCTCATCGTAGAATGTATATCGTGCTTCTTCTATGTCCCTAGACTTTAGTTCGAATGGTGCTTATCTCTTATTTTTGGTATTAGAATATTTGTTTTGTCTTTGTTTTTTTAATGGCCATTTCAAATCCTTATGTTTATTACTCTATTCATGCGACATTTGTGGCGTCGAGCAAGCTCTATTCCCAATTATAAAATAAATTATTAAAACTTTTTAATTGCCTCCTCTTTTAAATGGATTAGATGGAACGGTTTGCGTAGCTTTAGGTCAACTAGACTTCGATGCCAATTCTTTAACTCCATTGCTTTCAATTTGAATATTTCCTATCAGCCACCTATAGAATTATTATTATAATTACTTCGATTACAATGATGCTCAATATTTTATTTTACTGAGTCTTTTTAGTATTTTTAATGCAATCATGCTTCTGTTTTCTCTTGTCAGATCACATCCTCTTCAGCATCGCGTTGGGCACGAGGCAAGTTAACGGCTAGAGGCCACACCAAATCTTCTTGGACAGCTCCAGCAGCATACAAAATCAAAAGTCCGCACCTTCCCGATACATCGCGCAACAAATTACTGCTGACATGCAACGATTTCTAGAATTGTTTCTTCACATGACACTTTTAAGTACTTGCAAATTAAGTTCGCTCGTAGAAATCATTCGATTTTCACTATTGGCGATCGACCTATACTCGATAGCAAACAAGAAATGTGTGATAATTTTTTACTTGATAACTTTCATTCACGTGATTGTAGGTAAATTGAGTGAAAATATATCACGAATATATTATTAATCTTGCTGTGATTTAATTAACTGTTATTGAATCTAATTTTTAGATTACAGAAGATCAAAGAGTTTAAAGCGTAGCCTAAAAATACAGCGCTAGTTATAATATCGAACATAACTTTTATCAAGATAACAATCTCGCTGGTTGGGAATGCTATGGACTGTTTAAGTGGTCAGTAAACTTGCATAATATTACCATGATTTGTTTATCCTTCTTTCCTCTATATTGTTCAACCTAATTTGCCTTTATTTCTACGCTCTCGTATCGTTCTCATATTTCCATCATCGAGAAATTAATTCAGAAATACAGTAAACGCGGAGGAAATCAAACGAAATCTCAAAGAAAGTCACGTGTAATAATCACTTAAATGAAATAACTAAGGCAGCGCATAGCAAAAATAAATAATACCTTGTATTCCTAATATTAGAAAGCAGTAAGTACACAGGGAGATTAAAATAATATGCATAGTAAAATAATTTTGTAACTAAAATAATATGGTTGCTGAGGATTCAGTTATGGCCAAAGCATCGGCTGTTATATTTGGAGACGCGTCAGTAGTCATTTGTAGTGATTAGTACACATGCAAGCGCGCGTTTACATTTAGGAATACAAATTTCAAGGCAAAATAAATTTTATTGATAATTTAACATCACATATATATTTTCAAAATTTTCTAGCAGAGAATGATGCAGAAATAAGTGACTCGACGTAAGGTCCGCCATGTGCTGTCATAGACATTTGACTTATCAAGCACATTAATTATTAATTTAATTGAAAAAATCATGATGATTGTATCACTTTGTCACTTTTGCAAGTGAACTCCTTATGGTTCAGTGTACAATAGAATAGTCGGTGTAAGTTCAAATGCTTGAAAATTACTTGGTGAAATTTTTAGAACTTTAATTCGTTTCCATTGTTGGTTTTTTTTCTTTGCAAGTTTCTTCTATAGTTGCTTCCTGTCAAACAAAGTTACTGAGTTATTACACAATGGGCGTACACCATCTGTAACAGCGTTCATGCATTAATATCATTTCGTTTTTAAAACATTTGAATATTGAAAATATTTAAATAACACCTAGCAAATACAAAAAATAAATCATCGAGCTAGGTCACTGCTATCTTTGCTAGATCCGTCCTCAAGAATACGATGTACTATATGAAATGAGGTTGACTTAGTTCAAATAGCGATGAACATTTATGCCCTAACGTGAGTCAACCTGACCATGTTTGACCCAACAAAAAGGCGTATCAATCCCTACGTCATCTCTTTGATCGTACTGTGGGTGAGAAAGTGGGGCGCTATTTGGACAATATCACCCATTCATTTTCCCGATTGAAGGGAATGCGCGTACATGACAGAGATCTTTCGTACCAAATGCAAAGGCTTGAAAGCGTTTTTGGTTTAAATGTCATTTCTAGCTTTCCATATAATGTATGCGTTTCTTATATACTAAATGCGAAGGCTTGAGAGCGTATTTTGCATAACTTTTCCTTTAACCCTGCCAAGGCTTGCGTTTTAGCGCATTTTCTCATTTATGGAAAAAATGCACTATTGTGCTCGCCATGTCCGTCCGTCTGTCTGTCTGTCTGTCTGTCTGTCCGTGCCTTCATGTTTTCGTCGACGAGAAAATGCGCTCTCTGTCACTCACTGCAGTGAGTACTAAGTAATATTTTTTATCGATGAGATGATGCATACGCGTAGACTTGAGAGCGTTGAGAGCTCCTCGCTCACTGAGCGCTCTTGAGAGCGTTGAGAGCTCCTCGCTCACTGAGCGCTCCTGAGAGCGTTGAGAGCTGCTCGCTCACTGAGCGCTCTTCCTCTCAGTCTTGAGGATCGGCACTTCGCGCTCAGAAGGCTTCGGGGGCTCAGGAGGCTAAGAGGATACACGTGCAACATCAGCACCGGATAATCATTTTTGAAATGACGTTAAGAAATCTCATGTGTATCAATCATTATTCTACCGTATGAGTATAGTTCAATAACTTTTAGTCATCAGCATTGACGCAAGAATATCTCGATATCTCTCTCACGGTTGAATAATTGTGGTAGACTTCGCGTGTCCACATTTATATTTCAGAAAATAAAACTAGGCCAGTTAGGCTTCTCATCACCAAATCTCGATCTACAAAGCAAACTTGACTAGTTACAATTATCTTCCTCATATATCTCAAGCTTGTAAGAAACCTATAATATATGGTAAAATCATTTCAAAGAAGACGCGGGTTCCTCACCTTGCGCGGCGTCTCGACCGTCAGCACTCCATCAGGCGAGAGCGATGACGTCACCAACTCCACCATCGCGTCGTCGGGCAAACGATATTTCCTGTTTGTTTGGAGTGAACTATTGGGTGAACTATTATATTATATTGAGTGTATTATATTATCTATTACAGAACAAATAAAATTCTGCGTTCTGAATATATATTTCTGATGCTGCTTATATGACGAGCTTGGGAACATAAACTTTTTCACAAAATTCACGAAAACTTTTATAAACGGCGAATTCAATTAAAACCCCATTTTAACGTCAATATTTATCCAGCTCTCAATTAAAAATTCTTTAAGCAAAATAATCAAGCAATTTAGTGTACTTTAAATACCTTTAACTAATTAACTAATTTTTAATTATTTTAATTAAATTAAATTTTAATTAATATTTGATTAAAATTTTTTTACTTTAACTAATTATATACCTTTAGCTAATTAACCTTCAACTTTAACTTTAACTTGCACTGACCTGACGAAGTGCCGTGCGACCGTACCGTGCTCGTCTGCCCTCTCCTCGTGCTTACCCTCGACCTCCAGCAGCTGTCCCTCCTGGCTCACCCTCACCTTCAGCTCGTCAGGGGTGAACTGAGGCACTTCAATGCTTATCTGGCGGAGAATTAATAGATATTTAACATATGAAGATCAAACGTTTTGTATTTCCAGTGAAAAATAATTAATATAGAACATGCGGATATACAGTTTTTTTAATCGCAATTTGCAAACACGATATGTCAGTTCGACCTTGTGACAATCAACAAGATCGCACAAGGTCACAAGAAAGGTGTTTTTTACGGTGTTTTGATGAGCGAGTATAATGTTCTCTCGCATTCTCATCTTAAATATTGAACATTCCAGGCTGCTGGAGTAGCCAAGTTAACACTCCCAGCAACCAGTTAACACTCCCATCAACCAGTTAGCCCGACAGCAACCAGCTAACACTCCCAGCAGTTAGCACTCCCAGCAAACAGCTAACACTCTCAGCTGCTAACACTCCCAGCAGCTAACACTCCCAGCAGCTAACACTCCCAGCAGTTAGCACTGCGTTACCGAGAATTTCTCCAGCGAAGTGTTGACGGTCGAGACGCCGGACTTGTGTACGGGACCGCGGCGGCTGCGGTGGTACAGACTCGATGTGCCAGCGTTGGTGTCGTCCGGGAACAGACCTCCGCCGAAGTTCTGCGTGAAATGATCCACACAACTTGACAAAATTGATTTTCTTTTAAAGTTTATAATGAAAATTTCATGATTAGCTGAGTTATTTCTGTCATTTGGAGTCATAGACAAGTAATTAAATAATCTACCAAGTTTTTAGCATTATCAATAAGTTTGTGTTAGTAAATAAATACCACTGTTGTCAATATTTAAGTTGCCAAAGTTGTGTTCGAACATTTTTGGTTTGTTTGATTAGCAATTAGAGTAATGATAATTTCACTGTAGCGGATATTAATTAATAATTAACTTTAATTGTCATTTGAGATTTTTCGGCAGTACCAAAAAACTATTTTAAAATGCCCTGTAGAACAATTTTCAATTCATGCTCATTCATCCTGTAGTTGAGATTCAATTATTGATCTATTCTATGAAACTACTTTTCCTGCTGCCGCATTAAAGATCATGACGCTGTACCTAATTTAAAAGCATCATGACGCTGTACCTAATTTAAAAGCATCATACCGCGGTACCTAATTTAAAAGCATCATGACGCTGTACCTAATTTAAAAGCATCATGACGCTGTACTTAATTTAAAAGCATCATACCGCGGTACCTAAAATTAAAAGCATCATAACGCTGTACCTAATTTAAAAGCATCATAACGCTGTACCTAATTTAAAAGCATCATGACGCTGTACCTAATTTAAAAGCATCATACCGCGGTACCTAATTTAAAAGCATCTTGACGCGGTACCTAATTTAAAAGCATCACGACGCTATACCTAATTTAAAAGCATCATACCGCGGTACCTAATTTAAAAGCATCATGACGCTGTACCTAATTTAAAAGCATCATAACGCTGTACCTAATTTAAAAGCATCATGACGCTTTACCTAATTTAAAAGCATCATGACGCTGTACCTAATTTAAAAGCATCATGACGCGGTACCTAATTTAAAAGCATCTTGACGTAGTACCTAATTTAAAAGCATCTTGACGTAGTACCTAATTTAAAAGCATCATACCGCGGTACTTAATTTAAAAGCATCATGATGCGGTACCTAATTTAAAAGCATCATGACGCTGTACCTAATTTAAAAGCATCATGACGCTGTACCTAATTTAAAAGCATCATACCGCGGTACCTAATTTAAAAGCATCATGACGCGGTACCTAATTTAAAAGCATCATACCGCTATACCTATTTTAAAAGCATCATACCGCAGTACCTGATCGAAGAGTTTGGCCGGGACATTGCCTTCCCACACTGGCGCTGGCGCCGCCCTGCTGCCGCTGCTGCCGCCAGAGACGCGGTCACCCCAGAAGTCCCGCTCGATGTCCCGGAAAAAAGGGTCGCGGCACAGCAGCGGGATGTGACGACTCATCTTCAATTTTCTGCAGAGTCGATTAATTATTATTTAACTAACACTAAAATATTCATCGCAATTAGTAAGGAATTGATAATACTTTGAAGGTTTGATAAACCTTATAATCAAACTTCTTGCGTGCTATCATTGCAATCTTAAACGCCAAATAATTTCAATTAAAAATTACACTCGCAGCGGCGAGTGTAAGGGACCAGGGACTGATGTGATTTTAGAAATGAAACCACATTTTTCATTTGAAAACAATTTGTATCGTGGAAAGACACTCAAATAACACATTAGAATTATTATGTCTGGTGTCAGCATCAAACATATGAATAAACCTACTGAAATACACGATGCTCTTTCAACTTAAAGTAATAATATGCAATCAGGTACGAAAGAGATTAAAAGAGCCTAAAGAAGAGCTTTCGTAAACATTCTACAGGGGAGCAGAACCAAGAAATTCAGTGTCGCCATGTTCTTCTTACACGAAAAAAATATCAATATTCGTGTCGGTATTTACATGTCTTACCGCATTGTTGTCACCACTACTGATATAATTACATAAATTTGTAACATAATAATGAAACAATATTTTCTAATAACTATTAATAACAGCAGATTAACCATAAATTTGTAAGCAGATAATGAGTCACAATTACAGTTTCTAAATTTCGACTATTCTAATTTCTTATACCTATTTCCCTGAAATTTCGATCTGACGATGGAGCTGGACTCCGAAAAGTTTTCAATAAAATTATGATGCCTTTTTGTGGCTTATTCACAGCTTTTAAATGTCTTCTGTTCTATACTAGTGTTTTTTATAAACGCAGCATGAAAGAGTGACTTCGGAAGACTTGAAAATTAAAATCTCTCTCCGAAGAGTGCTCGACGAACACCATGAATACAATACTAGTAAGACACATATGTATTAATTTGGATCCCTCCCTTACTTTAAAACTCAACAGCTTCAAAAGAAAATTTTTTCATCCTAGAAACTTAGTTGCAAAACAAGCGGCGTAAGCCAAGTCGAAATATTCCGACAGCCTTTTGGCTCTGGGCGCATAAAAGGAAAAAATTTAACTAAGGTAAAATGTCTTCTTTGTGTAGGATATTTCTGCGCGGTGCGTATCGGATTATGAACATTGTTACTTTGGCCTGACTTTGTGTGCTCCAGCCAAATTCTGCAACGTAATGAACCTCCTGCTAGAATATTGAATGAATGAAGACGTCGTCTATTTATTAGTTTAGTACATTTTTCTGATTTTCACGAGATACGTTTTATTAAAACGTTTTATTATATAAACGTTTTATTAATTAAAACAACGGTAAGACTATTGAACTTCTCAATATTTCTCCTATCACTCATGAACAACGATTTATACATAGGATGATACACTAATTGTTCATCATCTCACAATTTCATTCTATGTTTATCATACAGAATTTTTTTAGGTTTAGTTTGATGTAGATTGAAGAACCGAGGCCCGGCGATAGAATAAATTATATGTGAATCCACCATTCGGCGCAAGACAAAAGAAATGAGCAAGTACGCAAAATGATTGAAGTTCAAACTTTGAGCTGAATTATATAATATATTTAGGTATGATTGTTTTCCCGATCATTTTTTCTCAATGAAAACGTTTGCTTATTCCCCCTTCAAACATTCAGAATAATATTCATTTGCCATAACTTTTATATAGCAGACAAGTCCGCGTTAACACCTGGCGGTCCCCGAGGGTTCGCAAATTAAACTCTTGCTGCTTTTACCATCCTAATATATGAACGGATTTTCAGTAGCGGTTGTAAGCGACTCCAGACGATAGAAAATGTTGAAACTCTGAACGAGCTCCGGCGCTTCTATATATTTAAACAGATTTTTAATTATTTGACAATAAGTTAATAAATACTTGAATTATCATTTTTAAGTTGATGTATTATATATCGGTTGATTTAGTTGCATCATGCAGTTGGTGTTTAGTATCTCAGATGATTATTATACAATGAAACAATAAATCTTCAATAAAAGTATGATGAATCACTGGTCCAGAAAATACACAGAAAGATATTGGATTAAATCTGCGATTCTAAAAAAACAACTGGCCTTTCCGATTCAAAATTCTCGCACCGAAACAAAAGGGAATTGCGCCGGCTTGGTATTGAGGGAAACTCCAAATAGAATTCAAACCCGAGAAATAAAATTTATTCATTGTACTGAAAGACCGCAAACTTTTATGTTCTTAAATGAATTATAACTTCAGAAATGGAGTTAACTTCAACTACCACATTCAATCAATTATTCAGTTAACGTATTCAATAAATTGAAACAGCTACCACATTCAATCAATGGTTCAATTGCCACATTCAATCAATGGTTCAACTGCCGCATTCAATCAATGGTTCAATTGCCACATTCAATCAATGGTTCAACTGCCGCATTCAATCAATGGTTCAACTGCCGCATTCAATCAATGATTCAACTGTCACATTCAATCAAGTTGAAAATGACTGCGACCACCTAAACAGTGATGATGTGATCACATCGCAATATATTTTATTGTTCTATTTTAAAATAATAATATTTCGGACATTCGCTGAGTCTTATCTATGAGGCTTGGATTTATGTGATATACCTTTATTTGTAATCATATATGAATCTTCGAGTATAGTGGAATGTCCTAAACTTTAGACATATTTTATTATTCGTTTCTGGACGTGGCACAGCATTTCCTTGCAGAAAAAGTATTTTAATTCTTTCGGCTCAATTAATTCCAAGGAAATTGAATGACCTTCGTTTAGATTACAATTGTAACCCCACCGTACAATTTTTAGAATAGTAAAAGTTATTTTAAGGTCTCGTGAATTTAAATTGAATTTTTGTTCCTAATTCATTCCAAGCCAACGATAAGGGAAAAACACTAACTAATATTTTATTAAATTTTCTTACATCGACAATTCCCGCCACAAACGATTGTTCGAAATTAAACGTGCTTGCGCCATTGAAATTTAAAACTCTGCTCGTGCGCATAACATAGTTTTTAGTTTCAATATAACTTAACATCACCTAAATTCATAACATGATTAACACATCAATTAGGCACAACACCGCGCATACCATGCACTAAACATTCTCATCCTATTCATGATAGAGCTGACAGCATATAGAAAATATTCCAATTTGGTTGAACTAATTAATCGCGTTTTTGATGAGTTTTAGCCGGCATTGTTCGAGACCAATAAAAATCATATCATTGTTTAATAGAGCGAATAATTATCAGCGGATTTAAGAGTAGCATCACGCTTCAATTGTTGGCTTAATAACTCTGATCAAAGCATTACAGGAAACAAATAATGAATCCTTTTTGTAGAAATAATTTAATTCATTTTTATTTGGACGATTATTAATTTAAACATCATACACATATCAAAATTAGGCTTTATGACTGCGAACTTCCAGTAATGATGAATGAAATTTTTTTAACGTTTCGCCATATATAGATTTGTAAAAAATTCACTTCTAGATCCACGAGTTGCGAGTAAGTATGGAATTTATGACTCGTATCTTCAGAGAGCTTCGATTGAGTCACGTTTTGCAATCATAAATGACTTCTACACTTACCGGAAAATCATTAGAAATTCACAACGACTCAAAAAATAAAATGACCACTTCTTTCTTTTTCCATTTTATGGTAGAATAACTGTAATCATACGACACATAAATCTGCATTGGGAACATTTTGCATGCAAGCAATAAATTTACCAACGAATTTAGTCACGAAGCTAACTTGACTTGGCCGCGCTCAAGCTGCAGTGTCAGCAGTTAGGAATAATATCCTGACACATGACTTCTCGTGAGGCTGAATTGCATTATTTGCTGCCAGCCTTGAACTTCCTTAACATGCGCATGGAAAACTCCATCATGGTGGCAGCCTTGAACTTCTTAAAATACGCATGGAAAACTCCATCATGGTGACAGCCATGAACTTCTTAAAATACGCATGGAAAACTCCATCATGGTGGCAGCCTTGAACTTCCTTAAAATGCGCATGAAAAACTCCATCATGGTGGCAGCCTTGAACAGAGAGCTTCCTGTAAACCGATTGATGCCAACGACATCGTATATTATTATGGCAATCATATAGTAATTTAAGAAAGAAAAATTGATTACATAGACTGTGGTTAGAAATACTTAGGTTAATCGCAATAATTCCTCATCAATAATTCGTTCAAAGCCAAGTTCTGTGATTGTTTTTAACGGAATAACTCACGCGAGTATAGGTCGCAGGGAACGCTGAGTAACTCAGTAAAATCTATTGAAACACGCACAGTCTTCGTGGGTGTAGGGATGAATAGCCACCATGGGTGTGGGGGATGAATAGCCCCGTGGGTGAGTAAAATGAATAGCCCCCGTGGGTGTGGGGATGAATAGCCGCCGTGGGTGTGGGGATGAATAGCCCCCGTGGGTGTGTGGGTGTGGGTGACGAATAGCCCCCGTGGGTGTGAGTGACGAATAGCCCCCGTGGGTGTGGATGACGAATAGCCCCGTGGGTGTGGGTGACGAATAACCCCCGTGGGAATGGGTGACAAATAACCTCCGTGGGTGTGGGGGCAAGTGGGTGCATAAACAGTGACTTACGAGCAAGATGTGGCGCGGCTTGCCAAGAGTTAGTAATAGACGTGTAAGAAGTAGTGGTAATAAATCCTGATTTACATTCAATAAATAACTATATTGTGACGTTGGTTCATCACTATTGTACTCCTTATTTACATTCAATAAATATCTACATATATTGTTGCGTTGGTTCATTACTATTGTACTCGGGGACAGAATTGACAGATTCTGTTGACACGACGAACGCCAAGTTTGTAAACCCTACTCGGTTTACATGAATTTATATAAATACAAAACTTAGATTGCAGCAGAAGGTGAGGAAACTACATTGCATGGCATACATACATATTGGTTGAAGGATAAGGTTATGACTTCAAAAGTAACGTAAGATAAGATAGTATGATCAATAATTTGTGGGCCATCGAATTGATTAGATCGATCGTCATTACATCTTTCTTGGGGTGAATAATGAATTCGGACATAAGTGAAAAATATTTCAGAAGCAATTCGATTGTGATCGTATCTGTTGTAAGTGAATTCAGATATCCAAGCCAATTTTTCACTACAGTTTCCCACAAAAATAATCAGCATAGTCGTGAGAAAATATTTAAATAATTTTACCTGTCATTTTGCCTGAGATAAGCCAATTTCTTTTGAAAAAGAAAAAACGGGTAACAAATCAGGGCTACTTACATAGAAGGTCTTCCATAATAATGAGCAAGGATCTGCACTCTGCATTTTTTATAATTTAGAGTCAATTGAAAGTTAAATAATTTCTAATTTATGTCACCACTAAGTTATTCCACTTGTATAATCAAAAGTTTTTACGTTTAAGTTGTATAATCAAAAAGTTATATCAACGAAAATTCAAATCATCGGTCGGTTAGAGCATCGATAATTATAATTTATATCAACGATTAAGACGCCTGAAATTTTTGGCGTTGCAAAGCACGCGTCGAAATTTCCCCACCTCATCAAGGTATATAAGATTATCCGCCTTCTTCATTATGTACACGAGCTATCTCAAGACACACATGTACCCCAATCAGCTTAGCGCCAGCTCCATTTTTTAGAAATAATACTAGCAGCGCTGGTCGATTTTTTATTCAATATCATCACACGTGCATGTGGGGCCAGATTTCTTAGAAACGCGTCTGTCCTTCACACTTAAAATTTATTCCTAATGTGAATTGATGGACTTCGAGGCAAAAAAGTAAACGATAACATGTGTTTTTTTTTTGCATGTACTCGTATGTATTTTACGTACTAGTTTCCTGATTAGGCCTGAGTATAGTGCTTTTTATTGCAAATATTATTAAATATTAAGTTAATAATAGAGAAAAAACCCACCTGCGAGAAAAGAACTTTCTGTCTCTGCGATAATGCGAAGAAGATTTTTCTAAATGCCTGCAGTTAATAAATCTTAATCCTGCTTCGAATTAACATATTAATTTTAATTAGTTCGTATTTAGGTAAATATTATTACCAGCTAACACTGCTCAGACATGGATAGTTACAAACACAGATCTAGGAGGCAGTAATGCAGCTCATGCAACTCTGTATAGCCTCAAACACAGGCGCAGGCTGCCGCTCACACAGCTCTGTATAGTTTAAAATACAGGCACAGGCTGCCGCTCACACAGCTCTGTATTTAGTCTCAAACATAGGCGCAGGCTGCCTCTCACACAGCTCTGTATAGTCTAAAATACAGGCACAGACTGCCGCTTACACCGCTCTGTATAGTCTCAAACACAGGTGTAGGCAGGAGCTAACACAGTTCACACAGCTCTGTATAGTCGCAATCTGCCGAGAATGTCACCCGTCGCGCCCTCCTAAGTCCCAAATCTCTGAGTCAGTTGCTAATAATACCGACTCAGCTCATAACTATTTTTGCCGATCATCTAAACAGGGTAGAGCGACTCTGCCAGCTGCTACGGGCAGAATTTAGATTTGATAATCATAATAAAAGGTTATTCATTTTGATTAATCCTATTGATGATTAAATAAAGATTAAATTAAAAGTAATAGCTGACGAAGGGCAGAATTTAGATTTGATAATCATAATTAAAGGTTATTCATTTTGATTAATCCTATTGATGATTAAATAAAGATTAAATTAAAAGTAATAGCTAACGAAGGGTAGAATTTAGATTTGAAAATCATAATTAAAGTCGATTCATTTCGATTAATACTATTAGTGCATAAAAAATATTAAATTAAAAGTAATAGCTTAACGGGTGTTGATAGTAAAGAACTTCGCAATAAAAACGAGGATACTTGAATTGTTTCTGAAAAATATTACAATGTTTCTTTGGGACCAGTTTATTCCAAGCATTATAGAAAAAGATTAAAAAAAATAATTTCGTCGTTTCTAAAGAATTAATTCTAAGGACAAATTTCTTCAAACATTGATGCTCATGGAACCAAATAAATAAAAATTCATGCAGGCAAGAAATTTATCTCGGTGCCTAAATTCATGAATAAATTTGAAGAATTGTAAATGGTTTTACACAGCAATTAAAAAGATATTATCTATTATTATTAAAGATATTATCGATAAAAAAGATATTATCGATAAAAAAGATATTATCAACTACAATTCAACACTGTTAGAAAAATTCCCGTTAACGGTATTACCGGCGTTTCGGTGGCCGGTCGGCACGTGAAAAGAAACACCGTGTCGCCGTTTTTATTCTAATTTAACACTAGAAATCCGTAAAACATCTGATAAAAACGGCGAAACAGTTTATTTTCAGGGAGCGACCGGCCACTAGAATGCCAGTGGACCGTTTTTTCACCGTTTTTTCTAACAGTGAACAATCGCGGTCGAAAGTGAAGAACGCTAGGCTCAAACGTTCGATATTGTCCAAATAAGGACAAACTTTCTTGGCCACAGCACGAGCAGACACCAAACTGAGTCAGGATGACCCACACAAGGGTACAAAATGCATCACTTATCGGACAAAGTCTATCTCATTTCTGTGAGTCCTAGATTTCGAACAAAGATAATTTTATGAGGACGTAGTCCGGATTCTTCATTTTTTTTTTATTCTCTTGAATTAATTGCTGCACTGAAAATAAGCAAAGGACCGCGAAAATGAGTTTGATTTCAATTGAAGGCATTTGAACTTCAATAAAATTAAACTCATTTAATTGAATTGAAGAAACTACACAGTTAAAGCTCCCTTCGCTCGCTGGCAAATTTTAACTAAAACTTCCGGACAAATTTGGCTTTAGATTCTCTGTACCTTTACCAAATTGGCGGTGTAGAGCTTCCGGCATCACAGAACTGGCACCCAAGCTTCAGTTTTTCTGTTCAAGTAAATCCAAGAGGAGTTGAAAATGTCATCATGTTAAGATGAAGAGGTTTTGTAGTGGGATTGGTCTGTCATCCTTACTATCTATAGGTCAACTCTGTACGCGAGCCACATATATGTTTAAAAAATAAATTTCTGAAGCTCAATTGTTCCTAATTTTGCGCATTGAATTGAAAAATCGTCACTTCTTTGGCTGTGCGTTTGTCTTCTTCCGAGTCTTCCCAATCGCAAAGACCGCAAAGTTATAATCTTAAGTAAGGCAAGAGTGCCTCAATTATTCAGCATCATTTTAAAATAAAACATTTTAATAATTGATGACGTTTCCCAATATGTAAAAGGAAGTGGTTAATAAACCTTAAATTCCAGCTCAGTAGGCGAGACGTCGAATTTGATTTCCGAATTTTTCGAATACAGTTCCGAGTTGTTTCGTATACAAAGAATCACAGGCAAATTCATTTTATTTTGGTTTTAAATATTCCTTGAATGATTTAATGATGCTGATTTTTGGCCCGAACTCTACCAGCATTATAACAATAGCACGATACAGCCATTTCCTTCAAAAAAATTGTGACATCAAAACTCATCAATCGACATCAAAAAATCTCCTTCCGCGATTCCGTTGTGCCAGCACATGTTGATTTTTCAACAGGACAATAGGCAGGCAAATATTCGCATTGGAACGAGATCCAGTGAAAAGAACTCGGTTTACCAGACAAACATGGACGCTCCTTGGAAGAAGATCGAATTGCTTCACAAGACGGAGCCGGTCTCCAAACATCACTGGAGAACTGGACATATGAACATATATGAGCAGATTCTTGGACATATATGAGAACATACTTGAACATGTATGAGAACATACTTGGACAGACATGTATGAGAACATACTTGGACATGTATGAGAAGTTGAGAACATACTTGGACATATATGAGAACATACTTGGACATGTATGAGAACATACTTGAACATATATGAGAACATACTTGAACATATATGAGAACATACTTGGACATATATGAGAACATACTTGCACATATATGAGAACATACTTGAACATATATGAATATACTTACACATATATGAGAATATACATGAAAATATATGAGAACTTCTTAATGCAAGAAAAAATTCAAAACTATAATGTTTCTTCTTAATGAAAGAATAAAATTACGAACAATGAAGAGATAATGTAATGATAAAATTAAATTAAGAAGTATGACATCCTGCTTTAATGGAAGAATATAATTAAAAACATTCACGTGTTCTGTAATAGAAGAAATAAATTGGAAAAATATGGCGTTTTTTTAAATGAGGAATAAAATTAAGAACAGTTAAGGACGGGTTTTTGTAATGGTAAAATTGAATTGGGAAATATAATTTGCTTCCTTTATGGAAGAATTAAATGGGGAACATTGACGTACTTCCCTAATAGGAGAAATAAACTGAAAACTGGATTGAATAAAATTAAATTTAATAAAGGTTATATATAACGACGTGATTCTTGAAACAGGATTTAAATTATCTTTAGATTAGGAACAACGTTAGTAGCTTTACAAGCTTGCTTTATTCTATATCAAGCGCAATGAAATATGTTAACGTGTTAGAAGGGTTGTGTGTGAAGTAATTAAAACGGCCTTCAATTAATATGTATCCTTGGGCGCACCACAATGAATAATTAGAATGAAGTCATTCAAGAAATGAATGTAATGAGACCGCGCAACAATAGTAGCGTGGTCTCGAATTGTGGACAAATACTACGAAATGAATTTGATATTAATTTATATATATGAAAAAAAAAATTATTAGAAGTCATCTGATATTCATTCTTAACCCTATTAAATATAATATTATTTTAAGAAAGATAATTAATAATTTTTTTCACACGTTGCTTATTCATATGACATAATGAATTTTACTAATTACCAATTAAACGTTGCTTGTAATTTCGCAATGCTCGTCAAGGAGTCTAATCAGATAAAAAATTTCCAGATTTATTGGACTAGTAAAACGATTTCATTTGGGTTATTACATCGAAATAACAAATTTGGTGCAAACGACATCTCCAGGAACAGCAACTCTCTTCAATTTGAAGAAGATGAAGACAATTTACGAAGATTTTAATTGCTGTAAGCTCTCAGATGAGATAACTTTGATTGCTGTAATGTTGGCATGCCTGGAAATGTTGTCTGAGCACCGAATGGAATTGAGGGCTTGGGATCCATTACAGAAGGAAACTTGGACAATACTTAGCATAATTAGTCCTCATACATACCAGGAAATTCCCAATTACATCAATTTAATTCTACGTAATCTTTCTTACGACTCTCATCAATCGAGCTTCACTGATTGGAGTTGTATATCCTTTATAACAGTTGGAGTGTCAGTAAGGACGAAAAAAGCTGTTTATAGGTTTAGAAGCAGACAGAATTATTTTATTTTTGCTTCCATCAGTACAAATGCCTTTATTCAACATAAAAATGAATCAGAAAAGCTGAATGATTCAAGACAAACATTGTCAAGCACGACTGGACATGTTAGCGTTAATCGATTCTGACGGCATCGACAACGACAACGTCTCGTTGCTTAAAAATTCTGGTTTCTCGTCGGTGATGGGCAGGTTTATTTCAACCCCGCACTCTGATCGATTGAAGAACTTGAAATTTATGAAAATTAAATCTCCCGTGATGATCGCCTGTCAAATTTAGCTTTCAAAGTAGGTTCAAGCGTTCAACAATAATTATCTCAAATTGTTAATCCAAATCTTCAATTTGCCGTTTTAATTGTGAGTAAATAATTATTTCTATGTCAAGGCATCCAGAATATTTTGTTGACATGGGTAAAGTTTTCTCCAAGTGCCGGCTGGATAGAATCACCAACAATAAATCACTTTAGGAGATTTTTATATCAAATTTAGCTTCATCTGTATGAACTTTAATCATGGTTGAACTACTACTTCAACAATGGATCTATGAGTGACCACTATGTGGATGCCCACGAGACAAAGCTGTCACTACTGAGTCGACACTTCTCCGGACTCGCTTGCGAACTCGTACGCAAAACCTAACTACGCCCGCAACTAAACCACTCATAAGTCCTCCAATACTGCTGAACGGATTTGCTTGAATTTTGGAATGTGAGTAGTTATTATTGATACGCTGCGATAGAAATTAAC